TCCTTGAGCAGAAATGCCAAGTGTTAGGTGTCCCCAATTTTATTAAGCAGGGTTTTGTAACTTTTAGGCAATCACATATATGTTATTTTGGGGAATCTTATATTTATGTTCATTAAGGAGCTAGCAGGGCAGTGTGGTGCAGTGGATAGTCCTCAGAATATAACTGGTTTATGACCCTGGACAAGTCAAAATTCCCTGCATTGCTCTGCAATTCCCTAAATGCATGCTTTTGCAATAATACAGGTCTGAGGTAATGAAAGGCTGCACCAGAGTGGTGGCAGTGTCAGAGGAGAAAAGAGGGCATATTCAAGAAATGTCATAAAGGTAGATTCCATAGTGCAGCAGACTGGAGAGGGGTGTAAAAGAGAGTTAAGAGTCAAGAATGTAAGCTTGGGTGCCTGGGAAGATGGTGGTGCCCTTGGCAGTAATAAAAATGTTAGGAAGAGGGGAAGGCTTGGGGGGAAAGATAAATGAGTTTATCTTTGGATCTATTGAGTTTAAGATATTTATGGGACGTGAAGTTCATCCTCCTGCCAGCTCTGTTAGGAGAATCAAAGTCAAAGGAGGTAATTCGGGACAGAAAATAATTAAGTTGACATACTGTGTTTAATTATAAGTTCCATATTTGCACAGACAAAAAATCCTGCTCACCCATAAGTATACCAAAGGATGCTTGCCTAGCATGGTACCCATTATGAAGTTCCTTCCATGTGCCATTCGGGAAGCAAGTATGGAAGGCATGGAGGAATAGTTTGGCCAATAGCATACCACTAACTCCTACTCAGCATTGAACAAATCATTTCCCTTCTCTAGGCTTTACTTTGCTTATCTGTAAAATGAGGAAATTGGTATCTATGATTTGTAGGATTTCATCTGTCTTTTTAATCTACTATATTTCTCATTATATGCAAAATAAATAAATACTGAAAAGCAAGCACTATTTTTAAAAGTATAAACCAGAAATTCATTGAAAGCTAAAATTAAGCCATTTGCTGTCTTAATGTCCACTAAATTAACAATTCCTTTTAAAAATAAAATCACTTATTTATTTAACCTTTCATACTGGTATTGTAAAATTAATATAATATGCTACTTCTGACTCTAAATTTTGAAAAGGTAACCTACAAATGAAGTGCTGTTCTAAAGGCCTTAATCACTAATGATTGAATTTAAATCACCAACGGATAAGATATTTGGGGGGAAGGAATGCCTTTCTGGAGCAACTCAACTCACAAACCATAGAGTACCTTAACTAGTGCTATTACTGAAGGTCTAGTACTCCTTTATTTAAAAAGTAAACAAATAAACTTTATGTGGCACGTGCTCTGGGGCTGTTATCCTGACTCCCATTTTGATTGTCAAGGCAACTCCCAAAAACAAGTTTATCCCTTCTCAAGGTTCTAGGAGACCCTGAGGACTTGGGAGGGAGAGAATGGTTTTCTAATACCACAGCTCATGAGACCCAACTGGTACATTCCACCGCACTCACTCCCATGTTTTTCAGTTGACATCAATTAGTCAACCAGACTTAGTGAGCTTTTAGAAAAGGCCATCGCTAAGGCGATTGGGAAGATCAATGAGTAGTAAACAGCCTCCTCAAATTCTGGGACATCCTCTCCTACAGTATAGATGGAGTCCAGGGCAAAACGTGCTCAAGATTAGGAAGCGCATGTAGCAAAGGGTTAACTCACAGCTCCTGGTCGCTAGAAAGCCTTTTCTTCTCTTCAAGGGACACTCATGGAGTTCTCCTTAGGTATGATGTAGCTTTCTTCTGAGCCCCTTGGAAAGTCCTGAAGCTGCCTCTCCCCACTGTGTCTAGTTTGTTCTTGGTGACCAGTGGACACAGTTGCTCCTGAGACAGCATTAGCATGCCCGTGAGGAAGCCAATCTTCTGACCCTCTGAAGTTCATAAGGTTGTCGTCTGGTCAAGGGGCGGGGAGGAAACAGAGCCTCTTCTTTTCTTTCCCCTTGGGGTTCCTCCTCAGAGACTATTTTCTGCCGTTGGCTGCCAGACTCTGGGATAATAACTAGTTCTGATTGTGTTAATGTTTTATAGGAGACACAAAATATGTGATATGGAGTCATTTAGTTTAATGACTTTGATTGACTGAAATATTCAATAGAAATATTTTCACTTAATAAAGTATCAGGGCTACTGTATCTTCTTAGATAATTTAACTGAGATGGGGTGATCAATTGATTCAATCCTCACCCTAATGCTTATAATATCTTCATATTTGGATTTGGAACTGTTGGTAAATTTGACATTGATATTTCATAGAACACATTGGTGACAACCCATCATTTCTTTCGTTTTTATGTTGCTTAATTTTCACTCCTGTTAGGAGTACCTAATAATGATGGCTCACATTTCCACCATACTTTCCAATTTACAAAGCATGCCTTTTCCCACAATAACCCTGTGAGGTTGGTAGCATGATTTTATTCCCATTTTTGAGATGAAGACACTGAGTTTCAGAGAGATTGTGGGACTTGTTCATAGCTAATAAGTGACCAAGTGTCAGCTCATGTTTTACATGAATGAACACATAAACACATTTAAAATATATACTAATATATTATACAAGGCACCATTTCTGGGAAAAAATAATTCCAATTCATAGTCCAGCTGGTTGAGATATTAGTTTCAAGCTAAGGAATAAACATCCACTATTTCTATTCATTAGAGAGAGAAGCATTCAGTCAGGAGGGGAAGAATTGTGCTGATGGTATTTAATTATGTTTTTCTACTTAATTTCTTTCGCATGTTGTTTTTCCTTAAAAATTTAGTTCTTTCATATTCTTTATTAAAAGCAATTTTATCCTCTTTAGTCACAAAATCTAAAATAGAGTAAAAGTATTTTGTAGAACATTTCCATGTTAAAGGTGAATGCTGATAAATAATAACAATAATGTGAAAGATAACAAAAGTCATTTATAGAGTATTGTAAGATGTACAAAGTGATTCACAAAAAATTATCTCATTTGGGGCTTATAACAAGTCTGTGAAGTGTATTATTATTACCTCTGTCTTGCAGATGAGGAAAACGAGGCAGAGGAAGTTAAGTGACTTGCCCAGGGTTATATATCAAATAAACATTTGAGGCAGGATTTGAACCCAGGTTTTCCTGACTCGAGGTACAATACTATCTAGTACATTACAGAGTGTAACAGAAATTTGTTGAAATATTCAATTGGTCAATCAATCAACGTGCACTTATTAAATGTCTCCTATTTGCCGAGCCTTGTACTACATGGTGGGGATGTAAAAATATAAATGAAACAGTCCCCACCCTTGAGGAGCTGGCCTTCTATCACAAGACAAAATACACTTTTAATTAACACTAGCTAATAGCATAAAGCGCTCTAAAGTTTGCAAAACGTCTTATATAAGTTATTTCAATTTGGTCCTCACAAAAACCCAGGGAGGTAAGTGCTGTTATTATCCCTATTTTACAGATGAGGAAACTGAGGTATAGAGAAATTAAGTGACTTGCCTACTGTCTGGGGTTAAGTGACTTGCCCAGGGTCACACAGATAGTAAGTATCATGTGTTTGAGGTCAGATTTGAACTCAGGTCCTCCTGACTCCTGGGCCAGTGCTGTATCTACTGTGCCACCTAGCTGACCCCCAACTCTTGTTCTCTCTCCGCTATGCCAACAAAATGCACCAATAGGTCACCTAATATCATGTAAGATTTAATAAATATCCATTTGTGATAATCATCTTTTTTTAAAGTCTTTAGCCTTTTCTCCTAGCAGCATGCAAATTTATTAATACGTTTTTTCCCTTTATCCTAATAAGAAATCAAATAACTTGACACAGAAACTTCCTATATCTGTTTTTTTTCCCCATATGTCCTTGAAATCAGGGACAGTATCGATTTTCTCGTAGAACACCAGAGCTTTTTGCACAGAGTAAGCATTGGATAAATGCTTTTTTCAGTCACTTATTGATTCATTTCACCTGACAGTTTTTAAAGTACGCTTTTTTCACTTTTCTGACAACTTGGTGTCCTTTTTCCCATATGAGAAAAGAGGTGAGTAACTTGCCCACACCTAGTAAATAGCATGATTTAATTTAAACTGCCTACTGTGTGCTACACTAGCTACTAAGAAAGAAAAAAAAAGAGAAAGAAAAGCTTACATTCTACTGGGACATTGCAAAATGAATAAATTGAACCATAACCCAAGGAAAATTGAGGACATGGCTAGTAAACGTTGGAGCCAGAAGTAAAACAACTGTCTTTTTACTCCAAGTCCATTTTCTCTTTCCACTATCCTGTCCCTTGAGACAATTAATTAAAATCATAGTTTCCATAATTGGCATAATAATCAAGAATTCATTTTTGACTGCCCACTGCTCTTGGAGAAGGTCAGATAGGCAAGGTAAGATAATCCTCTGATATTGTGGGTGAATACACATTGAACACCCCTCTGTCTGGATCCCAAACAGTTCTACAGACTTTGCCAAATGCATTTTTTTTTACCTCAACTGTTTCCAAGATAAACCAGAAAACAAGATCCAGCTTGCACTGCCATGTGACTGTGTTCACATTCCTTTAGATAAGTAATCAGGATCACTTAACGTGCAGATGAGGACAGAGGCTAGGGTTCAATATGATTTCATTATCCTCACCTACTTAATGCCAACAGGTTTAACCTAAACATAAACAAAAGAAAAACAGAAACACATCTGGAGCATGGAATAGTGGATAGAGAGCCAACCTTGGACATGGTAAGACCTAGGTTCCAGACTGATCTCTGATATATACCAACTGTCTGACCCCAAGCAAGTCATTTTGCTTCTCAGTGTTTCAGGCAACACACTAAGACTGAATTGCTCTAGACAGCATGCTAAGACTGTGAGGTGCTCCAGGCAATACTCTGACACTGTAAGTTGCAGAGTGGGTGCTAACCTGCAATGGTAGAGGGAGTTTCCTCCTCCAGGAATTCCCTATTATATAATGAAAGGAAAGGTCAAAGTCCCTATCCCTCCATCCCTACCTTCATCATGCCAGGAGGAGCAACTTTAGGCCACCAGCTTTGGACATTAATTTATAATGAGCATCAGGATGCAACTTGAAGTAGTTAAAAAGATTCTGACTCCTGGACCTGAGTTCAAATCCTGACTCTACTACGTATTTTCTGTGTGACTTTGGGTAAGTAACTTTGTCCAACTTTGAGCAATTCTCAGTTCCTTCTTCTATAAAATGGGGGAAATTAAACTGGATGATTTCCAAGGGCCCTTTTTAGCACTAAAATTCTGATCTATTACAGAGAAAAATAAATGCAAGACGTACTACTACCAGAGGAAGCAGTGTGGGAGAGGGAAAAGAAAAGTGACTATGGAGTCACAGGTCTTGGGTTCAAATCCTATCTCTGATGCTTTCTGCCCATGTGACCTTAGGCAAGTCATTTACCTCTCCAAGCCTCAGTTTCTTTATCTATAAAACAGAAGTAATAATAATAGTGCCTACCTCACAAGGTTGTCATGAGGATGTATATATAAAGTACTTTCCCAGTCTAAAAGTGTTATAGAAATGCTAGCTGGTCTCCCTCTACTAATGTAGATCAGTACCTTTCTACAACTAATGATGTCAGATAGTTGCCCCTAGACACTGAAAAGTCACTGGACTTGCTTAGGGTCACTTAGCCAGTAGGTAGCAGAGTTAGGACTTGAATTCAGGCCTTCCTGACTTTAGGAAAACTTTCTGTCTCCACTATGTACTGCTGGATCTCTTTATCATCTGCCTATCTATCTATCTATCTATCTATCTATCTATCTATCTATCTATCTATCTATCTATC